GCCCTCGCACAGCGCCACCACGCCCACGCCGCCCAGCGACCCGCCCACCTCCACGCGCCTGCCGGCTGCACACACCCGTCAGAGCCCGCCCGCGCCCGCGCCCGCGCCCGCGCCCCGCTACGTACCCACGGTGGCCTGGATGCGCGCCTCGCTGATGGTGGCGGTGGCGATCTTGCGCGCGACGAGCGCCCCGTCGTGCAGCGCGGCGCGCAGTAGCAGCACGCCCAGGCGGTGGAAGTCGAACGTGATCTCCGTGCGCACCGCGCGCTGCGGACAAGGACCAGCTCTGTACCACGCACACGCTCCCTACTACTCCACACATGTACTGCCGGACCTTACCTTGGGCTCATCCTCCGGCGCAGGATACGTGTACGTGGCAGCGGAGGCAGGCTCCGACTGGTTGTCCTCCTTGGAAAGCTTTTTAGGCGCTGTCTTCGGACCCATCACGCGCTGAGTGAAGCCAATCAACTCGACTATGGTTTCTTGATTAGCTACACGCAATAAAAAAGCATTATATTACCATATCTCATCAATTAACAACATCACTCAACTTTGTCACAAATCGAATACTTTTCGAGCTCACCAATTATATCGAGATTGTTGAACAAAATATTTGCGATCCTTAAATCCTCTGAATCGGCATCACCCTTGACGATGCACAAATCGACGGCGATAAGTGCTTCAGAGTCGACGAGTCCGGCAGCACCCCAGTTGGTGGCGGTGGGCCCCCAGTTGGGCCCGCTCCAGGTTCCCCAGGCTGAACCCCAGCCGGCCCCGAACATGCTGCTGCCGTTCCAGTTGAAGCCGGTGCCAGACATCCAACTCGGCGCCGGGCTGACTCGCCCAGGGTCTAAGGACTCGGTGGGACATTGTGACTCTTCTGGAAATTGTATAATGTCAAGTGTAAGAGCCTTTTTACATAATAAGTGTCTTATATCTCCCATAAATATTTGGGTACATGTACCAGACCATTTAGAAGTAAAATAAAAAAAAAATTGTAACCATCTCTTTGAATTCCATTTTAAAGTTTTTGTTTATTAGACATTTAGTTGATATTTGAGTTTTGTCATATAAGGAATTTATTTTACGTCTGAAAAAAATGGTTAAACATTATTTGTATAAAACCAATTTATAAAATATTATTGCAGTTGGGTGCAACTGCAATAGTATTTTATATTTTATATGTACATCAAAAATATAACTTAATCAATTTAATCATTTCAAAGTAACTGTCGAGAATCGAAACTAACTTTCTTTTTTTAGTCGGTTGGAATAAATAATACATTAAAGCATGGGTAAGTGTTAGTTCAATTAAAAATAAAAATAATATAAATTATTTTTAATCTACAAGCAAGTGAGATTTTTTTGTCAATTTTTTTCCTCTTTATGAGACCTTAAGGGTCTCATAAATATTAAGAAATATTGAAAAATAAATTAGTAATACTGATAAAATATGGCGGCAATTAGTTAGGTCAAAAACATAAATTGAATAATGTAATTTTTAATTACTCAGCTATGGATAAGTGATCTGCTTAGTACTTTTTAAGTCATTTACAATTTTAGCATAATTTTATGGAGCATATGGCCACCTTTGCAGTGTACTGTTTTTGTTTACAAATTTATTTTGTAGCGTGAATGCACAGGTGACACGATTGTTACTACTTGACGGGAAAGTGCATTGCAGTGAACAGTTCACTGCAAATTTTTGTGCCGCTTTTCGTGAAGTGACACTCCATTTAGACATTATACTACTCTGTCAAGAAAGTACCGGATAATGATCAATAATACACAAAATGTCTGTTATTCATCCAAATTTATTTTATCACCTTCAACGTATGCTCCGTAGAAACGATACACTTTCGCCAACAAATAATCCATTCATCAAAATATTTTGTAAACGCTGTTTCCGGAACTGAGTTCAGTTCTCGCCGCGAATTCGATTGAAAAAATATTATATCGATTGAAAACGGGTGCCAGGAAGTGGTAATTTGAGTTTAGGAAAAAGAAAAAAGTCAGCAGGAACCATATCTGGTGAATATGGTATTTTCTGGATGGTATTTGTTGAGTGTTTGGTCAAAAATTCGTTCACAATGATAGCCCTGTGCGAAGGCGCATTGTCGTGGTGCAAAATCCAAGAATAATCTTTCCACAAATCTGGCACTTTTCGTCGAATTTGCTCGCAACGAAATGCCGCATAACGCTCAAATAATATTTAGCGTTAGACCTTCCGGTAAGAATTCAGAGTGCACAACACCGCAATAGTCAAAGAAACCAGTCAACATGACTTTGACTTTTGATCGACTTTGGCGTGGTTTTTTCGGTTTCGGTTCAGTTGGAAGGCGCCACTCCGAAGCTAGTTGACTAGTTTGCATGTCAAACTCGTAAACCCACGTCTCGTCACCCGTAACAATGCGTTTCAGGAATGTTGGGTCCGAACTGACTCGTTCTAGCATGGCCTCAGCGACTTTCATGCGATTGAGTTTTTGGAGAAAATTCAGATCTTTTGGGACTAGCCGAGCAGCAACATGTTACACACCCAAATGATTAGTTAGAATGGTACGGATCGACACGTGAGATACAGAAAGTTCGGCGGCTATCGCTCTCAGTCAATATTTCCTTCACTTTTGCGATGTTAACTTCAGTTGCGGACGTTGACGGCTTACCAGAGCGAGGCAAATCTTCCATCACATCTCGACCGCTTTCAAACGCTTTGAACCACTCATAAGCACGAGTTTTTGATAAAGTTGGTTTACCGTAAGCCATCGTTCTCAGTCACTATTTCCTTCACTTTTGCGATGTTAACTTCAGTTGCAGACGTTGACGGCCTACCAGAGCGAGGCAAATCTTCCATCACATCTCGACCGCTTTTGAACGCTTTGAACCACTCATAAGCACCAGCCTTCTGTAACATTTTCAGTGACTCCGAACACGAAATTCCATTGGCGATGCAAAATTTAAGACAAACTCTCTGTTTGCTATTTTTGTCCATTATGAAATTCGCAATACACACTATATATTACTAAAACCAGCACTGTATTAATATAAATAACAGATGCAACTCAAACTCCGCGCCAAAATGGAAAACAGTTGTGCCAATCTACAAAAAAACAAAAAATTAAATTCGGAACCATAAACAAATCCTGATACTTTTTTGACTGAATGTATAATCAAAGGTATGATGTACTCACGTCTGTTATAGTTTAGCGAGTTGAGTGCCTGGTGCAGCTCGAGCGGGTGCGCTAGCCCGTGCGGGCCCCGCGGGCCCCGCGCGTCCGGGGACGCCAGGCCCTGCGGGGACGTAGGGGACGTGGGGGAGGTGGGGGACGTCGGCGATGTCGGCTCCGACCCGCGGATACTGCCCGACATCGTGTCCATACTGCAACACCAGATTAATGACAGAGTCACACAAACCAAGTGAAGTCGGTAATTTTTAATGGCACGCACTTTCGAAATAAGCCCCATTGTGCCTCTTACTGACTAAAAACTACCTCGTTCCTGCCCCTGCACTTCGAGCCGGAGTACCGGCAACCGTTTTCGTCCTCCACCTTCGTATCAGCGTCAGCCCTATTAGCCCTCACGTGACGCACCGTACTTTCAGGTTTGGTTCTGGTCGAACTTTTTTTTATTAAAACAAGCCCGCCACTACCTCCTAAAAACGCTGCCGCTCCTGTAAGCCAGGATCTACACTAGATACAACCATGAAAACACCGGAACACTGAAGTCCGGCGCGTCGCAAGGACATGTCTTGGTTCCCGCAACGAAGTGAATCAGAAGATATCGTAAAAGAAAACTATAGTTTCCGCTTCCCTCGATGAATTACTGCAGGAGACCGAATGAATTAAGTCTACAAAAAAGAAATTGTACGAATTCGACTAAAAACTAAGTGGGTAATCACCTATGTGTAAGCTGTTATACTTGTTTCCAATAATAGGTGTGGCAAAAACGCACGGAAATTTGTTCTAGATTCAAGAAGGTCCGTATAATAAGCTACACCTGAGGAAACAATTAAATTATTTAATAGTGTTACGTTCATACTGCCAGAGATCACACTCCCAGAGTATGTGATGGGCGGACTGCTCGTATTGCAAATTCAAATTACTTTATTTCGGTATCGCCTGTGACTAACCTAACCTAACCTAACCATGTGAGATCTATTTTCATCCCAAAGGTCCGTTAATGGTTTAACCAATCTAACAATTTTATTTCTATCATGTTGCGCTAGAAAGCTTGCTGACAAATTAGGTCTCGCATTGTAGTACATAGCAGCACGTCGCTGCACCTCAAGATCAACCGGAAATACGGCCGCTATGTTAAGTGATGGGATACCTTGCCTATAAAATGGGTCGGCGCGCGAACGAGATCGTTTGTACGTAAGGTGGCAGGGAGGGGCCATACCCGACGTGCTTGTGGCTGGCCACGAGCAGCTCGAAGTCGGGCCCGTAGGTCTGCAGCGCGTCCACCAGCAGCAGCGAGTGCACGGACAGCGCCAGCGACAGGTCGCGCGGCCGCCCCGTGGCCGCCGCCTTCACGCCGCACACCTGCACCTCCGCGATGCTGCGGCCCAGGGACTGCACCTCCAGCGACATCTGCTCGATCGCGAACTGCAGCATGAACAGCGTCGAGTTCTGCTGCTGCGACAGCTCCGACCGCTCCGTCTCCGAGCTCACGCTGTTCTCCTCCACGTCGTCCGCCGGCTCCTGCGTCGGACTGTCCTCGCGGCCGCTGGGGACAAACGCAGCAGTCGGTACACCTGCACGGCCAGGGGCCCCGCCCCGCCCCGCGCGGGCACGTCGGTACACCTGCACGGCCAGGGGCCCCGCGCGAGCACGCACCTGGCGGGCAGCAGCGCGCAGCGCGCGAGTACGGCACGCACGGCGAACAGCTTGTGCTCGCTGAGGTGCACGACCAGCGCGGGCAGCGAGCCGCACGCCGTGGCGGACGGGTACTGCGGGTCGCACGTCTGCACCACGCGCCGCTCCGCCTGCAGCAGGATGCTGAACCGGTCTAGCAGGTGCAGCGATGACGTGCTCTTGGTGTGCGCGTACTTCCAGTTGTCGCGCGCGCGCCCCACCAGGATCTGCAGGTCGCTCAGCTCTATCTTGTACCTGCACAACAAGCCGAGGGTTAGCGCCGCCACGTCGCCTCGCTACATGCTGCAGCAGCGGGCTGTGTACCTGTCATAGAGTCGGTTGTGCAGGTTGGTGGCGTCCAGCGCGGGCTGCGCGCCGTGCTGCGGCGGCGGGTCGGGGGGGGAGCTGGGGGACAGCAGGCTGCCCGGGGGCGTCGAGCAGGGCGTCATGAACATCTCTGTGTAACAAAGGCGTTGCTTAGATGCGTTCCGCAGTGTGTGTAGTGCAGACTGACAGTGTCCGTACCCTCGTCGTCAGGCGGGGTGTGCGGTGCGCCGTCTGTCTGGTTAGCGTTGGCAAGCCGCAGCCTGCCGAAGTCGACGACTAGTACAGCAGAGTCTCGAGAGCAGAGTTCCTCCACGAACAGGATCTGAGGAGCAGAGATGTCCAGCTCCACTTGCCAGGTGCGGCGCTCGCCCTACACATACAGAACCATGAATAAATGGGTGGAATACACGGCAGGTGCGCAGGCGCAGGTGCTACATACAGGGTGTGCGTGCAGCATGTGTTCCCAGTGCGTGCGCAGACGCGCGCGCGTGGTGTCGCGCACGTGCGCGTACGCGCGTGCCCACGGCGCGCTCAGCCACTGCTGCGCCCAGCGCGCCGCCGCCGCGCTGTACACCACCTCCAGCGACGCCGACTTCACCCACAGCCTGCACAAACACATACAATGCCATCCCTACTTATTCATAGCGACTCTAGTGACAGACCACCTACTTCAACACGTCTGATTATACTGTGTCGATTGATTGCAGAATAGTTTTGTGAATTTACTGAAAGAATGTTTACTTGTAGTCACAGTTCATGCCGAAGGGTTTCTTCTCGTAAGTGAGTTGGAAGAGAGGTTCCTGCTGGGGGTGCGGGATGTTGGCGCCGGCCTGCGAGTGCGCGCGGCCCCACGACATCGCCGCGCCCGACGCGCTCAGCGAGCTCAGGCCCTCGCGGATCACTCCCTGCACCAGACACACACCGTCACCATCGACTCCAGTAAACAACAAGCACGGGCCACGGTGTGAGCAGAGACCTGTGGCGCGATGAGTATGGGGAAGAGTGTGTTGGGCGTGATGCGCTCGCGCAGACAGACGGAGCCCAGCGACACGTGCAGCGCGTGCGAGGCGGCGCGGGGGCGGGACTCGATGCCCACGCGCACGCACCAGAACTGCAGCTCCACGCCTTCCGCCGCCTCGCTGCCTTCTGCCGCCTCGGGGACACCTCTGGCGGACCACACACAGAATGTTCAAGTATTACCTCGAAGGGAACTTCAGAACAAAATTCACAAGCATCCATAATGTGCAAGAGTTAATGAGAACTGTTCCTATATTTGTAAAGTTCACAAGTACTCACTTGTTCTCGCCAGCCTCGGTCTCCATGCAGAGGTTGAGTGAGCCCTTGTTCAGTATAAACTCGAACTTCCCGAACACGGTATCCCTCTTCAGCATTGTATTGTTGTCCAAGGAGTCAGCTATGACATCGAGGATCTCCTCCTCCAGGTCGGCGGGGGCGGGCGCGGGCGCGGGCGCGGCGGAGGGGGGCGTGTCCTGCGGCGCGCCGTACCAGCCCCACCACTGCGGGAACCAGTGCACCAGCATGCTGCGCCCCGAGCTGCCCGGCTTGTCCGGAGTCGACGCTGGACTCGACTTTGGCACTTTGCGCATTGCCACCTGAAATAGTAAGAAAAAAAGTAATTGACAGAGGATGAAAATTAATTCCCTACACATATATTTTTTTATTTTATCATATAAGAATACTTAAATAGAACCATGTTAGGTTTAGGAGTGGGAGGTCGCCACTCCTTATTTTTTTTAAACGGCTACTACCGACATAGGCTACTCACTATTAAACGTAGTAAATCGTAACGTCTCACAATATTTGAAATCAATATATTTTGATTGTATACGAAAAAAAATACGTATTTTTTTAAGGGGGAATATCGTCGAATGACTTCTCCCGCTTTAGTGTCAGACTCTTACTGACTAAAACCCACCCCGCTCCTACTCCTGCACTTCGAGCCGGAGCCCCGGTAACCTATTAAGTTCCCCACGGCCCCGTCGGCATCAGCCCTATTGGGCCCCATCTGTGGTCGTCTGATGGCTCCTTGTGGCGCGCGCGGTACGCAACGCGCCGCACGCTCGGGCCTGGTTCTGGTCTGGTTAATGAATATACTAAAACCTTCTCCTAAGTGTAACCAACACTTTTCTTTACATGCAGATCAAACTGACGACCTCCGATTTTTGAATTCGGTCAAAAAGTATGGTAACGTGTATTGGAGTGACGGTGTACCTCTCTCAAAGCCTTGAGCAGTGGCAGCGGCGTGCGCCACTCGAACTCGTCCTTGGCGGCCTTGCGGTCCGCCGGCAGCGTGGCGGCCGGGTTGCTCAGCGTCACCAGGCACGCCTCCACGTACTGCCGCGACCGCCGGGCCCGCTCCACGCACGACGCCCACGTCGGCTTAGACTCGGTCCCTGGGCCCAACAGTCAGCATCAGCGTACAAAGGAGAACAATATAATAGTAGTGCAAATAGTGATATCGATACCTCTGGGCTCAAATATCGTAAAGGACAAAGTACGACTTTGCAAAGAAGTGTTTTTAAAAAATTAATTCGACTACATTTTTTTATTTATCTATGTTCTATGTAAATGATTCCTAACACGAAAATGCTTCGATTTTACAGGAGATTTTGAAGAAATATTGCGGAATTGGCTTAAAGCTATATTTACTGTGATAAATTTCCTTTACGCCCACAAAATTACAATAAAACCTTAACACCCCCACAAAATGGATGAATTCACAACGTAAAGAGGGAACATTGGTTATATAAGTCATCGGTATGTATAACTCATTTTCGCCCAAGTATCCTTTTCGACATGCGAGAAGGTATCGATATGCGCGCTCACAGCGGTGGTCGGGTATGTGGCAGGACAGCGCGTACAGCCACCAGTCGCGCGCGTGGCCCCGCACGGGCGCGGCGGGCCGGCGCGCGCGGAACTCCCGCACGCGCGCCAGCCGCTCCAGCCCCGCCGCGCAGCACACCGCCTCGTTGTACTGCCGCTGCAAGGGACGCGCCGGTTAGTGGACGCCGGACGGCCGGCCGGGCGGGCCGCTGTGTACTCACGGACGTGAGGTGCAGCGACACGGTGTCCAGCGTGAGGTGCGCGGCGAGGCGCGGGC